GGACTGGCCTAGGGGGTATTTTAATTGGTTTTAACAAAATTTTAATAGAGCGGCCAATTCAAATATTTATTTTTAATTATTTTAGATTTGTATTTGGTATTTATGTGGGATTGTTTTAAACTGGCTGTAAGCCGCCCTGAGTCCTCCGGGAGAAGGGCGGGGTATAAATGAAATAAATAAATAAATAAATAAATAAAATGAAACTAAACTTTAGATGACCCTGACTGTTAACTCCAACTATTTTGGAGAGAAACTTTGAACATTCATATTTGGGCGGGTTTTTCAAGTATTGTGATTGGTTAAGGCCCTGTGGGCTCAGAGTATAAATTACAGGCAATTGCCTTCAGTTCTCCAGTTCTAGTTTGAGTCAATAAATAACGTAACTATGCTAGTCTGCTCCTTGCCTACTGAAACCCACTACACAATAAAAGGTGGGATGCTGCAGAGGAGAGAGCTGCTGCTAAGCAAGAGACTGAAATCACTGGGTGATAGGCTGGGTAAAGAGCCCTGGCAGGCCTAGTTATCACCCCCTGCCTACCAGTAAGCCACACTGGAGGCATGCTGAAATCACTGGGTGTCAGACCAGGTAAAGAGCCCTGGTGGGACCACGCTCCCTGCTCTGCCTGCCAGTAAGACACACTGGAGGTACAGATATACCTGAGGGATCTGTCCCCAGGATCCCAAAGTGCAGCACAGCTCCAACAGTACAGTACAGGCATTAACCAGCACCACAGGGGCCTCCCCAAATGGCTAAATTAGGAAGGCTCAACGAGTTCAATATTACTCATCTGGAACAGTGGAGCTCATACGTCTCCCGAGTAGACAACTATCTCCGGGCTAACCAGATCACAGACAATGGTCTGAAGGCGGCAACCTTACTATGTGTCTGTGGACAAGCCACATTTGATATCGCTGAAAACCTGATAGCACCGGCAAGTATAAAGACTGTGGCCTACGCAGACCTCAAGAAAAAATTAAGGGAACATTTTAAGCTGAAACTCTCAGTAATGGCCTGGCGCTATGCATTCAAGCAATGTGAGCAGAGATCCGGGGAATCTGCAGCAGAGTTTGTGGCAGCTGTTCGCCAAGCTTCGTGCCAATGCGAGGCTCCCTGACCTGGAAAACCATCTCAGAGACAGGCTCGTTTTCAGCCTGCATAATAGAGAATTACAGCAGCGCCTATTCGACATGGAGAAACTGAATTTCCAAGATGCATTGAAGGAAGTCATGACGGAAGAGGCTGCCGGAGGGGCAATGAAGACTCTCCGGCCACCTAAAACACATACCAGCCCCACAGCGATCCACCAAGGGACCACAGAAGGATCGGGGGAGGTCAGTGAGAGTGAAAAAATCGATCATTTGCGGAGAGAGCCACCCAGATGGCCACGCTCCACAGAGCAAGCAACTTCCCCACAGAGCTGTGCAAGCTGTGGGGGAACAGCATGAAAGAGCAGAGTGCAGATTCTGCACAGCAGTATGCCTTGCCTGTGGAAAGCAAGGGCACCTTGCCAGAGTTTGCAGAGGTCGTCAGTGGGAAACGAAACCTGCAACACAGCAGCACAAGGAGAAATGGCCCCCAGGACAGAACAGAGTTGAATACTGCTCAGGAAGGCATAGCATCCAACTCACAGGGGCCCAACATTCCATCAAAGAAAAGATGAGACTCCAACTAAGACTGCAAGGGGTCCCATGCTCCATGGAGCTAGATACTGGATCAGCCCTGTCCATTATCTCCTCTAGGACTTTTGATCACATTTGTAAATGTAGCCGATGGCGGTTCCCACTCAAATCATTGAGCTTAGTGCTAACGGACTTCCAGAATTGCCATGTTCCCATAAGGGGGGAAGCTACCATTAGAGTACAATTCAGAGAGTTCGATGGTCCCCTCAGCATAGTGGTCATAGAGAGACCATGCACTAGACTCATAGGACTGGACTGGTTTGAGGCCCTGGCCATCAGGGTGACAGGCATCCATCGAACACAAATGGCTGATCTAGCAGCAGTATGCCAACAATATGCTGACATATTCAGCACAGAGTTGGGACCATACAAAGGGGCACCCATTTCACTCAACCTTGATTCAGCAATAATTCCAATCTGATTAAAACCGCGCAGGGTTCCCTTTGCATTGAAGCCTAAAATTGATGCGGAACTAGACAAGCTGGTACAGCAGGGAGTGCTCCAACCGGTGGATTGTAGCTAGTGGGAGACTCCAATAGTGACCCCAGTTAAGCCTAATGGGGACGTCCGCATCTGCGCAGACTACAAGTGCACCATAAACAAGGCACTACAGCAGCATGCTTACCCTGTACCAGTAATGAGCCACATCCTCGCTTCGCTCCAGGGAGGCTGAATCTTTGCTAAGTTAGACCTCGCCCAGGCTTACCAGCAGCTACTGGTAGATGACGCTATCGCAGAAGCACAAACAATCGTCACACATAGAGGTGCATTCCGAGTGCGCCACTTGTAGTTTGGGGTAAGCGTAGCACCAGGGTTGTTCCAAAGTATTATAGAACGAATACTGAAGAACATTCCCGGTGTCTGCCCATATTTTGATGACGTCCTGATTGTGGGGGAATCAGCGGCAATCCTGGCGGAATGTCTCCATGCAGTACTCCAATGTTTCCGCAAGGCAGGCCTAAAACTCAAGAAGGAAAACTGCCAGATCGGCGTGGAATCCACAGAAGTCCTGGGTTTCTGCATCGATGCTGCTGGAATCCACCCATCTGACGCAAAGCTAAAGGCAATTCAGCAAGCCCCCACACCAAAATCCAAGGGGAGCTACAAGATTCCTGGGCTTGCTCAATTTTTACCACTCCTTCTTACCACATAAGGCTGTCCTGTCAGAACTGCTACACCGCCTACTGGACAAAAAAACACCCTGGGCATGGTCACGCACCCAAGACAAAGCGTTCAAGGCAGTAAAATCATTGTTATCCTCGGACTCCGTCCTAGCTCATTTCAATGAAAACCTACCAGTAACACTAGCCTGTGACGCTTTGCCATACAGCATTGGGACAGTACTAAGCCACAGGATGCTAGATGGTAGAGAGGCCCCCATCGCATACTATTCTAGAACATTATCATCGGCTGAAAGAAACTATGCCCAGATAGACAAGGAAGCCCTCGCCATAGTGGCTGGCATTAAGAAGTTCCATGACTTCTTATATGGACGAACCTTCACCATCTTTACAGACCACAAACCTCTGCTTGGTCTCTTCACAGCAGACAAAGAGACACCACAGATCCTGTCGCCGCAAATGCTACGATGGTCCATTTTCATGGCTGCATACTCATACCGGCTAGTCCACAAGCCAGGTAAGGAAATGGCCACACCGATGCTCTCAGCTGACTGCCTCTACCGCAGACTGATCGGACCCAGCCCCAGCTTGTCGTATCCTGGTGATCCAGGATCTGCCTGAAGCACCCCTACATGCAGGGACATTGCAGCTGAAACCACCACGGACAAAACGCTTAACCGCGTTCTCAACTGGGTGTTAAGGGCATGGCCAGAGACCTGGCCAGGTCCTGAGTTCCATCGCTACGCTTCTCGGAAAAACGAACTGCTGGCCCACAAGGAATGTGTGCTGTGGGGCAGCAGGGTCATCATTCCACCCAGTCTTCACTCCAGGGTGCTGGATTCCTTACACGAGGGGCACCCAGAAATTGTTCGAATGAAGACTCTAGCCAGGAGCTACTTGTGGTGGCCAGGCCTAGACAAGGACATTGAGAATCAAGTAAGGAGTTGCCAGGCCTGCCAAGAAACCTGACCGGAGATGCCACAAGCACCAGTGCACCACTGGGAGACCACGCATGCCCCATGGTCTTGCATGGACATTGACTTTGCAGGCCCCTTCCAAGGGCAGGTGTTCTTAATTGTAGTAGACAGTTATTCCAAGTGGTTGGAAGTGGCACCGGTCTCATCGATGACAATAACCAGGGTCATCAAAGAGTTGTGCCAGCTGTTCACCACACATGGTCTGCCAGATGTAATCTTGTCCGACAATGGGGCACAATTCACGGCAGGAGAGTTTCAATCTTTCCTCAACACCAACATGATTCGGCATGTAACATCTGCTCCATTCCATCCCATGACCAATGGTCAGGCCGAACGAATGGTCAGGACCACAAAGGAGGCGCTCAAGCGGATGACAACTGGGGACTGGAATCACCGCCTGGCGAACTTCCTCCTGTGTCAACACACAGTACAGCAGCAGGTCGCAGTCCAGCGGAGCTGAGGTGGGGCTGCCGGCTCACCACGAAGCTCGACTGACTTCACCAGACAGAGTAGCGGCAGAGACGGCTCAGCCAACCCCTCCCCCAGAACTTACAGTTGGGTGAATTGGTCTGGGCCAGGAACTATGGAAGTGGGGCACCTTGGGTGGCAGTTAGGGTAACTAAGATAACGGGGCCCTTGTCATATGAGGTTATTCTGGAAAATGATCATAAGGTCAGACGCCACATTGATCAGTTATGCCGTCGGCAGGCCGGGCCAGTCCCGGGTGGGGATCCCGAGGTTTTATCAGACACACAAGAGAACTGTTTTCCTCCGAGTTTGCCTACATCACCCATGGCTGCCTCCGGGGAAATGGAGGTACGAAGGTCCGTAGAGCCACTGCCATTCACAGGCGACCTAAACGGCTATCACAACTCTGTTCAATTGGAGATGGATAATACTCCACTTGAACAGGACTCTCCAATAACATTGCGGCAGTCCACCAGGATCCGTTGGCCCCCCGGCCTATCTCAAAGACTATGAATATTGAACAGACTGAGGATGATAACTATCCTAGGGGAAAGGGGTGTTATGTACTGAATATATATAAAGTTGTGTTAATCCCTGCTAAAGTGAAACTAACTTAATTCCAACTGCTTGTGAAGCTAAAATGAAACTAATATTTAGATGACCCTGACTGTTAACTCCAACTGTTTTGGAAGGAAACTTTGAACATTCATATTTGGGCGGGTTTTTCAAGTATTGTGATTGATTAAGGCTCTGTGGGCTCAGAGTATAAATTATAGGCAATTGCTTGAAGTTCTCCAGTTCTAGTTTGAGTCAATAAATAACATTGTAACTATGCTGGTCTGCTCCTTGCCTACTGAAACCCACTACACAATAAAACCGATGGTAACTAAGCATTTGCTGAAGTACCTTCTTCAGGACATTCTTCATCACATATTTTCGCAAGCGTTTTTCAAGTTCTTCATCTTGACCCAACACAGAGGCTATTCTCAAAATCTCTGGCAAGGGAAGGTGAGAAAAAAACGGAGACTATGAGACCCTTGATGAAACATAATATTGTATATTTATGTGTTGAATTTGTGCACACTGTATGCTTTTCTGCTAATGTTCAGAGGAGCAGGGATGTGATTCTGGCATCGTGTATGAATGTATGTGTTTGTGAGTATGTTAATGCAACTATATGTGCATGTGTTTGGGTGTGAGTAAATTGTAGTAGTGCCATCATTTTCTGACTATTTCTGAATCAAAAAGAGTTGTGAATTCTCTCATACCTTCAATTTAATACAGAAATCTTGAATATAGCAACCATAGCAATTCTGAAATGTGGGTAGCTAGCATGGTCCACTTTTCACTGCCCCTTTTATGTATTCAAAACACAGGTAAAAGAAGTTCCTGGTTATTTCTATAGTTGGTTAGTTGTAGTTGGGAAATGGAAGCAGGTTCTACTGCCAAATGCAATTCTCATGCTGTTATATTTTATTTATAGGTAAAGCAAGATAAAATCTCTGATAAATTTTACAATGAAACTTTCCTACATCATTGTAAGACTGGAGATGCTATTTCAATTAGGTTAGAAAATCAAATGCAATGGGATAATAGGAATAAATGAGCTGAGAAATAATTCTAAATCTCAATATTCATGAGGAACTCACCAAAACTGTCACAAATGTGATTCTGATTTAGGTATTCTGCACATCTGTCAAAGAATTCATCAGTATTAAAGTCAGGGACATTTCGGATGTATTTAACCTGGAGGTATATAAAATTGTAATATTCAACAATGTTTTGTCTGCTATCCATAGCCATTGTCAATCATTTTTAACACGAGATACCAAGAATTGGTGTTATGCAAATTATAATAGCAATTTTATCAGCCTCTTAAACACAGGGATGATTTTTATTTGTTTGGTGAAATGTACAGTAGTCAAGATTCCCAGGAGAGTGAGAGTGCATTCCAGACAACTAAGAGAGAGTGAAGTTTAGATGGTTTGGTTGGGAGGAAGAGGTCATGTCAGCTACTCCCTACAAGTTCTCGGAATATATCTTTAAGGATTCAAATGCTTGAGTTTTGCAAGGTTTTGTCTGTAGGTAAGAACAATAAAGGAAACTGCTTAGCAGAAATCCTGCGGTATTTCTTGGTTTTTGGGGGGCCTGGCAACATCCATAAAATATTAATATTAAAATATTAATATAGAACTAGTTCAGCCTTTAATATGTTATTAAATCTAGCTGTGTAGACCATAGACCATCTATTGTGCCATTTTCTCAGTTTTGGTACAATACATTTGGATAAAGTGATATTTATATAATATACTTAAATTCTTAATATTCTATTATTTATGTGATTTAGAGTATTAAATTTAGATAAGAGATAAGTATAAAAAAGTAGATATTCTTTCAGTTTCTTACAGTTTTGGATATAATGTCACAAGCATTATAATTATTTATTTTTCACATTTCTGAACCACCCATCTCCCTCAAAGAGATAATTATTTGCCTTTTTTCAAAATTAGGTACAACAAATATATAATGAAATGAAAAAAATGAAGTCAGAGCATAAATAAAATAAGGTATTTGTATGATAATAGTTTCTGCTACATTTCAGGATATTTTTAATCTCTTCTCCTAGTTTATAATTATTTTGATATATTTCTTTATTGTTTCCTGTCAAGTGCAAGCCAAGATATTTGCTGAGTGGGCTCTCTGACAGCCAGATTCCTCTTGCTGACAATTAATTCCTTGTTGTTTTAGAAATCTTGTAGTTATTTTTGTTACTGAATATTAACTATGTATGCAGAATGTTCTCCATATGTATGGATTATGTTCATATTCATTTGGATAAACATAAACATTATGTTCCATAAGCTGTTTTATTGACTTTTGTGGTTCTGTAATAGTTAATATTACAGCATCTACATAACACTTAAGCTTATATTCTGTTCAATGGATTTTGAGACCTGTTACCACCTTCAATTTTTTTCTGACAGTATTTCTAACATGATGATAAAAGATAAAGCAAAGAGTAGAAATCCGTGTCTTGTTCCTTTACTGATCTGAAAATCTGCAGAGTTTGCTCAATGGGCCATAATCTTTTATTTTTGCCATTAGCATATACTTTTAACCCAAGCTTGAAATTCTTTTCTGAGATTCAATTTAGTTCTGCCAATATGAATTGCCATTGCAAATTATCAAAGGCTTTTTTGGCATCTAAGGAGATTAGTGTAGATTTCTTATTTCTATTTATATGTTTGGTTCCATTGATTATGAACATAATGTTGTCTTTTATATTTTTCTTTCAGATTAATCCAGTTTGGTCAGTGTGTATAAGCAAATAAACACACTACTTCAATCTATCAGCTAATAAATATTTACATTCAACAAGGAAATTGATCTATATGATTGTGGCTCCTACTTCTACTTTCAAACTTGCAAGATTCTGTTACTATAACCTCATAATAAATATAGTGTTGGTACCCATGCTTTGTACTTCTTGCCTTGTTTACTTCAGATTTGCAAATCTCTAAGTATTTCTCTCCTCTTTAAACTTTTACTTTCCAGGAAACTAGGGAGGATCCCCTTCTGAGACTCTTCCCATATCCTTTCCATTTCTGCTGCTTGAGATACCTTTACATGATGGTTGTTGAGGCCATGACTCTTCTTCTCTCTGTCTCCCAAAGTCATTCCCATATACCATTACATCATACTCCTTCTTTTCTTTACTGGCTCCCAGAGGTCAGAGGGTTGACTCCCTCTGGGTACCTAAAGCGCTTGTGTTCTTTGAACACGCAACTACTCCCCACTATAGTTTTGATGAATGGTGTTTGTTGTGTCCTGAGCCTGCAAAAGCAGGCTCGGGACATTGCAAGAGTCCCGGGCATTTGCAGAAGCTGCCCGGGACCAGACTGAGTGGCGCCGGCCTTGCGCGCATGCGCAAGGCGGGAAAAGACCGCCTCGTGATTGGTTGAACTTGCCCGGGGATCAGAAGGTATAAATAGAGGCCTGCGTGCCTCTGCTCGGGTTGTTCGTAGATTGGAAGCAGAGAATAAAGACTTGTTAGAAATGCTTCGTCTCAAGCGCCGTTATTCTCCGGACATAACAGTGTTCATTGAAGAAAGGTGTCAATGCTACTAACATTGGATGTTCTTGCTTTGACAATATATGAAGAGGCTGCCACTCTCTGTATAAGCTGTGTGGTATTTTTAGAGTTAAATTAGATGATGCTGGGAGGGGAGGAGAAAGTATGTGTGTAAGGATTAGTTAAGGTAAGAAACCGCTGGCTACAGAAAGGAAGGGAAACTTTGCCCTTCAAACTAATTGGAGAATGTGATTTATGACTGCAAATAAGAGGAGGGAAATATGCTGGAATATTATGTGCTCACGGGAGGGGAATTCATATCTTGGCATCCACCATGCTGTGCTGACACTATGTTACATGATTAAAGACTTTTTAGGATAAACAAGGCCTGGAAGTTCTTTGAAGTGTTTCGTTAATCGGTCAATATAAGGTCAATTTAAAAAAAAGAAAGGTCATAAGAAAAGAATTCCAGGTCTGTTTCAGGAGCAAAGCTTATTTGTAATGTCATTATTTAAGCCTTTGCATTTTTCTCTCAGCTGCCCTACAGCATGTAAAAGACAATTCAGTGCCTCTTTTAGGTAAGAGCCCAATTTCCATCTGTCGCTTGTTCTTGTAATGGCTAGAAGTGATACCAGATGGTACTAATATAACGGTGGAAGAATAAAATATCATAGAGAGTATGTCAAGATACATATCATTGGTTATTTTTTGTATATATGGATAAATGAAAAGGGAATGTTAGTGACGATATTAGAAATGGATTGGGGACATAAATGTACTTTTTATTCAGATGATGACCTGTTGTTGCATGGGAGCTCAAATGATTTGCAGTGAAATCACTGCAAACGTATGATAAAGCAAGGTTTCTGAAAAATTGATATATTAAAGTGCATAGCAGTTGTGTTTGACAGATAGTATAGTGGATGATTCCAAACTCTATATAAATTAAAAAATGAGCAAATTGATTAATTTATGTATGCTAAAATTACTAAATATGAAAAATGAATAGAGTAAGTTTAATATGTGAAAATGCTGGCAAAAAAATAGTGGGCATATCTCTGTTGTGAGGAATGGACGTTTGCCAAAAACCTAATACAAGTACATAATAAAAAAATAATACAGACATCATTTGTATATTGTATATGAACCCTTTATCTGAAAACTATCGTGTCACTTTTAATGTTTAAAATCAACCACATTCCTTTATAAACAAAACAATCTCACAGAAAGCAAAGTAAACTCTTACCCGAGAAGGTACCAACCTTGACAGCTCGTTCATTTTTAATTTTTTCTACCTCAATTAAGTTCCGGTCACAGAGCTCCCAGCAGTTGGGGGACAGGATAATTTCACTTGCTTTGGCTAAGTTTTGGGCCAACCGGACTTCTTCCACTGCTCGACCAGTTACCACAAAATGTTGTCGTCTGTTATCACCAATGACAACTTTTGAGATGTGACCTGCAGAGAGTCCTGAGAAAAGATTCAACTTCTTTATCAGAGATTCTGATTATAGCGTACTAAAATAAAATGGGGGTGGGAAAGTTGAAACTGAAATAATTCCACAATCTATAAGTATCCAGAAAATTATTACTTTTATTTATACTTTAATTATAAATGAAATCTTATCTCTGCTGATAAAGGATAATGGGTTTTTGGACTAATCTTTGTGTCATTTTTTTAAAATTATAGTTCCATTTTTTTACCTTCAATCCTAAGTGTTGATGAAAGGAAATATTAATTTAACAGAGGTTACTTATTGGTTATAGCCATCTTTGCAGCTTTCCTTTTGTCTCTGTTTCTTTCCGCACAGGATGAAATTAACATATACATCATTTTATAGCTTTTTTTATGAAAAATAGGCTTCAAGTTTGTTCTAGACTGAGGGGCTGGTACCTATCTTCACTCGTAGCTCAAGTCCCACTTCAGTATCACGAACACCATATTCTTGTTGGATGCTGAAACTACACTTCAGTGCTAGAGTAATAATCTCATTTAAATGGCAACGCTCTACCTTCCAGAGCGCCAACAGAGCATCACCTAGAAATAAGAGAATAAATCATGGAGCTTGTTGTATTTTCAAGAATGTATTTCCAATAGTTTTACAGAATTATTAAAAGTAGCCTACTTGTATGACTGTTTATTCCTGCAATAACATAATGATCTTCTATACCCTATTGTGGTGTGCATTCTTGGTTACTAATAGTTATAAATTCCCTCCCCTCATAATATAACTAGTTAGGAAATAGTTATTCCTCCTCAGGGCTCATGTACTGAGCTATGATGAAGTGGCATGTGGGGCTCTGTTATCGAGAGATCAGGCTAATTATACTAATGCTTTGTTGTTCGTTATTGTCATTTCAAACTTTGTGTTTTTATAAAAACATTTCTTGTATTAACTTTTATGATTGTGTTTGCATCCTTTTTATCTTTCAATGTGTTATTTAAATTAGGAAATCTCATTATTTAAGTTCATTTATATCAGTGTTTTCAAAGTTGGCAATTTTAAGGTGTGTCAACTTGCTAGCTAGGGAATTCTGAGAGTTGAAATCCACACCTTAAAGTTGCCAAGTTTACTGTATATCAATATCCAAAGTCATTATTTAATAAAATAATTGTCATTGCTTGAAGCACTTATATACTTTACTCTTTTTTAAGAAAAAAATGGTATCTTTAGTTGGGAATCCAAGATAATTCTGGACTCAGAAATGCGGTGGAAAGATGCAGAGACCCTTGCAAATTATGAAGATGATGCTTGCAATAATTTCATAAACATATTTTTTTTAAATATTGACTTTTGTGAAAATAGGATATCCTCTTATACAATTCAGGCCATTTCTTCACTTGTAATTTATACTATCTTCTGAAGTATCGCTCAGTTATTGCTAAAGCCATATAAATCCTGTCCACCTTACTATTATTATATATCAGTACAACACTGATTGCATGATACTAGAAATCATAGTGAAGAAACAGTCTAAAATAAATTCAATTATAGTGGGCTGATATTACAAATAATTTAATTTATCTAAGAATTTGTATGCTTGAGCTTTAGACAGATGGAGGCATACTAAATCAAATACAATCCAACCTGTTGAGAAAAATCTTATTGTATTGATTCAAGAAGGCCATTTACCAATATGGCAGCAACCTACCCTCCTATTTCTAATAATCAACTTGATATAATTACCATTTACCAACATGTTAAAAATACTACAGGTAGTCCTTAGATAAAGAAAAGTAGGAACAGAATTTCTGTCACTATATGGTGGGGTTGTAAAGCATGACATCATGTGACTTTAGCAATGGCAACCCTGGCAGCGCTTAGCAAATGCAATCCCAGCATTCGCCACTGCTGTTTTTAAACAAGAATTGTGGTTCATTAAGAAAATAACTCCTTATCATATCCTGCCATATTCCAATAAAGTGGAGAAGCCAGCAGGAAATTGTAAATCCCCAGACAACTTGCAAGCAGCCTAGCAAGCAGATAAGTGGTTGTTGCCAGGTATGGGACGATGCGCAAGGGATTGGTGTGGCACAGTATGAGTGGGATCACACTTGGGATAGATGTTGCAGGATGTAGGAGGGTGTGCAAGTGGTCAGCATGGCCAAATAACAGCAGGGTGTGGGATGGCAGCTTCTGAGAAGGGGTGAGATAAACACATTCAATTTTGGGGTAAACATTCAGATGGGAAAAGGCAACAACAACACAACAACACATGGCTCTCTATTCATATAAAGCTTGGTTTTCTCAAATTATGCAATTTTGCCTGGAAATTCTTTTTAATTTAGCTAAGAAATAAAAAGGAAACATTAACTGCTTTTTTAAAACATGCACACATTGAGAGATTTTTTAAAAAAACCCACAGTATTTAACATCCAAAACTTATTCTAAAGAAAAAAAGAAACAGGGTGACATGATAGCAGTATTCCAGTACTTGAGAAGCTGCCACAAAAAAGAGGGGGTCAAATTATTCTTCAAAGCACCAGAAGGAAGGACAAGAAACAATGGTCGGGAACTGACCAAAGAGAGAAGCAACCTGGAATTAAGGAGAAACTTCCTAAAAGTGAGGACAATTAACCAATGGAACAGCTTGCCTTCAGAAATCATGGGCACTTATCACTAAAGATTTTTAAGAAGAGACTAGACAGTCACTTGTCTGAAATGGCATAGGTTTTCCTGCTTGAGCAGGGGACTGGACTAGAAGACCACCAAGGTCCCTTCCAGCTCTGTTCTATTCTATTCTATTCTATTCCATTCTATTCTATTCTATTTGTCAGCAAATTTTATCCAATTCCAACACAAATATGTATAGGAATGTTTTATTACATGTGATAGATATGTAAAAACAACCTCAAAATTGGAAAGATGTGGTACAATGCAGAGAAAAAAATGGAATTTAAATTTGAAACAAAACCACGACTTTCCTTATTAGCAATAATCTCACAAAAAAAAACCAAGAAATATTAACATTTAGTAATAAATATTTTTACAGCAACAATAATAAACTTTGTTTAGTATTGGAAGAAAGATACAATTCTGATTAGGAACTTAAACTTGGAGAAAATGTAGCAATGGCAAAACTAGCAGTATACAGTACATACACAATAGAATTTTAACTAAATGTAAGAATATTTCCCATACATAAAATATATCATGCACCACAGTAAATGTAACTAGCTACAGTTTGGCTTTTAAGGAGGCCTAATCCTTATAGAAATTGCAAATTAGCAGATGTGTAAAAAAAAAGGGAAGTCAGAAACTTAAAAGCTCTTTTTTCATTTTTTTCTTTCCTACTTTTTAGTCTTTTACATTTGTTAAACATCTATTTTTTCCTTCCATTAACATATGTAAACATACATAAACATGCATACCAAGAGATATACCTAATAATAATATAACATACATTTCAAAATCAAATAATTTAGCCTAAGTTCAAATCCTTTATTATACTGTATAACCAATACTTTGATGTACAGCATGTTCTTACTTTCCAAAGCTATACTAAACTTTGAATGAAAAAAACCCAAATAATCCTAATGCTCATAACACCAATATTCTAAACTATAATGAATAACAATAGAATGTCCACCTCTTTTTTATATTTTTATATCCCATACTCTGGATATCTAAACAATACAATGTTAACAAAATTAAGTATATTATATAAATATCATTGTATTGAAATAAGATGTAAACTAACACAATAAAACAAAAAATGATTTTGATGTGTAAAAATAAAATCACTCTTTTTATTTTTCACAAATCATACCTGCAAATTTCAAGACATCACCTCCAAACACCAGTACTTCTATACATGAAAGAAAAAGGAAGAAATTTACAAATGATCTTTCACTATATGGTAGAGAAAATTCCATGAGAAAGTTGCTTTTAGAGAAAATGCCCTGATTTACTTTAATCATTGTTCTTTTTTCCCTACAAACAGAACAGCTATTGACTTGCCACACCACCTGCTGCACTTCATATCCCCATTATGATTATCCTCAAGTGGTCATGAAACTAGCAATGTGGGCAGAAACATTTGAAATGCAGCATATATTATGACACTTATGCCAAGTGCCATTTTATGATTCAATTTATAATTTAACTTTTAATTATTGGTAGGTTATTTTATTGCTAAAATGAAAGTTACCTCAGAACCACAATATTTTTTTAAAAAATCTCTTTGAAACCCCAAAGGCCCCTTTCTGCTTATGGACGGTGTTTATAGCTTCCATTTCATCTTTAAATGGAGTTTATTCAATTGAACTCAGAGGGACCTCTTTCTAAATGGAAACAATAGCAGAGCTTGACAGAGCGTGCATAGGACTAGCAGCATGGAGCAGCAGAGGAAAAGTTGCAGCTTGAGGGGCTTTCCTGCAAAATTGGGAGTCCCCTTCTTTGCCAATGCTGCCCAAAAGCCTGGGGTGATGGGTGGAAGTGTTGCTGATCCCAGCCTCCTTTCCCATAAAAAGTAGGTGAGGATGCTTGGAACAAGCTAACAATTGCCCCAGAAAGAGTACTTGGATAGGAGACCACCAGGCAATCCAAGAATCGTGCGCCTGACAGGGAAGTAAGGTAGGCCTGCCTGTGAGAGTGGCTGTGTCTCCAGTCTTAATCCACCGTACTCCCTTCACTAGACACTTTTCACAAGCACCCCCAAACAGCATACTTGGATGGGAGACCACCAAGTGATCCCAGAATGCTGTCTGGACATTAATCAAGGTTGCAATAATTTGTATGGAATTGTTCCATACAAATGGTATTTTATTGTAATTTAAAGGAGAGTGCACTTCTTTAAAAGAACAGTAAACAGGGCCCAGCCTTTTCCCCTCCACCATCCCCATTTCCAGGCAGTCTCAAGATTGACACTGCCAGGCCCTCTTCCCCCACTGCTCTAAAGCTTTCTCCCCTCCCGCCCAGAGGGAGGCAGCCTTTGGGCCAGTGCAATTTTTTTATGGGTAAGCAGGAAAGGGAGGTGAATTCCAAGCCCTCTTCTTATACAATATTAAAGGAATTGGAAGAGGCTCCCCCCTCCGCCCTCCTTCCCTTCCTGCCTCCCCTGACCATGTAACCTAGAAGCATCTGCCTGCCTCCCCTCCTCCCTCCCACTGGCTCTGCTACAAAGCCCCCCCCCTGCATCCCACCCAAACAACAGCCTCCATTTAGCTTAACCTTGAAAGCAATGATGCAGAGAGCGATGGTGAGGACAGGGCGGGGATCCTTTATGGGGGGAGGGAATCTTCCCCTTGAATCCCTGAGGCACAATGGGAAAGGAAAGGAGAGAAATTTGATCCATGCTCAGAGGAGTTCTTGTCTCACTCTGCGGTCATAGAGAGTTCCCAGGATTTAATTTCTGCAATTTTAATTTGAAGGGATAGAAGTGGTCCTAGACATAGGGGCTGTGTTCACACAATCACTGTTGTGTCCTGAGCCTGCAGTAGCAGGCTCGGGACGTTGTCATGGTAACGGGCTGTTGCAAAGCTGCCCGGGACCAGACAAAGCGGCACCAGCCTGCGCACATGCACGAGGCGCAAAGCGCGCTATTTTCTTGTATCCTTTTTACCTGGGGATTCTGGCTATTAAAAAAGGAAGAGAGAGGCCTGCGAGCCTCTCAGTTGTGACGGAGTAATCAGGAGGAGAATAAAGAACTTGTTGCTGACAGTATGTTTGCCATTCTTTTGCTGCTAAGACGAGGACTTAACACTGGCGACGAAGGTGGGATCATCTTGCAAGCTGAAAGAAGAAGATTATAAGACTTACCCAAAGGAGTCCTTGAAGAAAGGAAGACGGCATTAAATTCAGCATCTGGCCTGCCAGTACAGCATCGCTGGAGGTAAGCTGGCTGATAGACCCCTTCCTGAATAGCAAGCAAGAATGGCAAAGATTGGGAGACTGTCAGAATTCGACGTAGCTCGCCCAGAGAGATGGGAGTCTTATGTTGCTAGAGCAGAGAATTACTTCAGAGTAAATCAAGTTAGAGAAGATGGCTTGAAGACTGCAACCCTGTTGTGTGTCTGCGGTCAGGACGTGTTTGAGATTGCAGAAAACTAGGCAGCCCCTGCTCCTCTAGAGTCTGTAACATACACAGACTTAAAAAATCTATTGAAAGAGCATTTCCAACCAGAGATGTCTGTCATTACATGGAGACATACTTTTGAACAAAGGGATCAGAGGGCAGGAGAATCAGCCAAGGAATTTATCGCAGCATTAAGAAGAGCAGCCAAACCATGTGACTTTAAGGATTTAGAAGAAAGACTTAGAGACCGTTTTGTATGCGGGTTAAGGAACAGAGGGCTGCAACAAAAACTCTTTGCAAGAAAAGACCTCTTGTTCCAAGATGCTTTGAGAGAGGTAACAGCTGAAGAGGCAGCAGGTGGGGCAGTCAAACACACGCGGCCCATCAAGAACAGCTCAGAAGAAGTTCCTGTGCACCACGAGGAAGTCCAAGAAGGCCCGGAAGAAGATCCTGAAGAAGAGGTGGATCATCTTTTCCCATCTACAGGTGGAAAGAAGAAAGGAAGCAAAGACAAAGCTTCAGCTGGGCCTAAATGCTTCGGGTGCGGAGGTCGCCACAAGAGGGCTGACTGCAGGTTTCGTTCAGCCGTCTGCAGAGCGTGTGGAAGGCAAGGCCACATAGCAGCCATTTGTCTAGGCCAAAAGAAGGTACAACTTCGAGAAGAATTGCACCTGAAAGGTACCAGGGTCCCAAGCCAAAACAGGGTGGGCTTCTGCGTGTCGCGCAGGAGTGTTTGCAGAACAGGCACACACAAACCTCTTAAAAAGAAGTTGTCCCTTAAGGTGAGGCTGCAAGGAATTCCCTTAGTTATGGAGCTGGACACTGGGTCCGCTCTTTCAATCATTTCCTTTCATACATTCAGGAAGATTTGCAATAGCAGTGGGTTCCAGGCTAAACTTAGACCTTCCAACATGACTTCCAAAACTCCAAGGTGTGTGTAAAGGGGGAGGCCACCCTTACCGTACAACACAAGAGTTTTGAGGGTCCCTTGGATGTGTTGGTTGTTGGGGGTGACAGAACGAGTCTTATAGGACTTGATTGGTTTGAGGCCTTGGGAATTCAGGTTACTGGCTTGCATAGCTTGCAAACATTAAGCCTAGCAGAAGTCTGCGAGGAGTTTACAGATGTGTTTAGTTCACAGCTTGGATCCTACAAGGGGCCTCCAGTCTCCTTACGACTTGACCCCAACATCACACCTATTAGGGTTAAAGCTAGAAGAGTACCCTTTGCATTAAAAGGGAAAATTGATGCTGAGTTGGATAAATTGATCCAACAAGGCATTTTAGAGCCTGTGGATTCAAGTCCATGGGAAACACCCATAGTTACGCCTCTTAAGGCTAATGGGGACATTCGTATATGTGCTGATTACAAGTGCACTATTAACAAAGCACTGCAACAGCATGCATACCCCGTACCAGTAGTCAGCCACATTTTGGCTTCCCTCAAGGGGGGGTGAGTTTTTGCAAAGCTTGACTTGGCACAGGCTTATCAACAGTTACCTGTTGACGAAGCAGCTGCTGAGGCACAGACCATTGTAATGCATAGGGGTGCATTCAAGGTCAAGAGACTGCAATTTGGGGTAAATGTTGCACCAGGCATTTTCCAAAGCATCATGGAAAGCACACTTAGGGGCATTCCTGGGGTTTGTCCCTATTTTGATGATGTTCTTATTGCTGGAGAATCCATTCAGAACTTAGCAGAGAGATTGAGGGCTGTGTTGCTTCGCTTCAGAAGAGCAAGCCTAAAACTTAAGAAAAACAAGTGCAAAATAGGGGTCACTTCTACAGATTTTTTGGGATTTAGAATAGACGCCCAAGGTATTCACCCCACTGAATCAAAGTTAAAGGCCATACAGCAGGCTCCTAGCCCGAAATCTAAGGGTGAACTGCAGGCTTTCTTAGGCCTTCTAAACTTTTACAACGCTTTCCTACCTCACAAGGCCACTGTAGCTGAACCTCTACATAGGCTTTTAGACAAGCAGGCAGTCTGGCAGTGGACCAAAGTCCACGAACAGTTTCAATGAGGCCAAGGCCTTGCTAACATCTCATGATGTGCTTGCACACTTCAATGAGAAATTGCCTGTATGCATTGCCTGTGATGCTTCCCCTTATGGGGTGGGAGCTGTAGTCAGCCATTTGAAAGCTGATGGAACTCAGGTTCCTGCTGCTTATTACTCCAGGACTCTGTCTTCTGCTGAGCGCAATTACGCTCAAATAGACAGAGAAGCATTGGCCATAGTAGCAGGGTTTAAAAAATTCCATGATTTTTTATATGGCAGGCATTTCACGGTCTTCACTGACCATAAACCGCTGTTGGGGTTGTATACCAACAGTAAACAAACTCCCCATATTATTTCCCCTAGAATGCTGAGGTGGTCTATTTTTTTGTCAGCTTATGACTACTCCTTAATTCACAAACCTGGTAAGGAGATGGGTCATGCAGACGGCCTAAGTAGACTACCTCTGCCAACAGTAGAAGCAGACCCCGCTCCTGCCATCAATCTTCTTTCCATTCAGGAGTTGCCTGAATCTCCCCTTAATGCAAGGGATGTGGCTGCTGAAACAGCCACTGATGTCACACTTACTCGTGTGCTTTCCTGGGTTCTGTCTGGATGGCCTGACAGAAGCCCT